GCAAGTTTTGCCAGGAAGACATTAACACGTTGAACTTTATGCGGCATGTTAAAAGAAATCATGGTAGTGAACAAGAAGTCCACACCATATTTCAATTGCCAAAAAACAGCAAAGAAAGACGCCGTGCTTTTGCAATTTTACGTAACGATACTAATTTTGAATTATTTATAAATGGAAATGTTCGCCCTAATAGAAAATTGGTAAAGGAACCGAAAATTAAAATTAAGTACTACCCTTGCGCGTACTGCAAGGGAATATTTGCAAGACAATACTTAAAACGCCATGTAAAGTCGTGTTTTTTAAAAGATTCCGAAAAGAATCAAAGCAAAATTTTGTCTTTATCACAAACAGTGACTGCATGCGCTATGGACCCTACAAACGTTCTCTCCAAGTTAAATGTCAAAGAGCAGGTAAATTACCTTGAAAATGTAACATTTCTCTTGAAGCCATAAGTTACTAGTCACTGCAAAATAAAACAATAATATATGCGAACGACATTTGTGAGGATGTTACACCTAGAAAATTAAATGTTGCTGAGCTATCTAAGAGATGTACAATGTGTCATATCGTTAATGCCCATTTTACTAAAGAAATGTGTGAACTAGTCACCTAAAATCGGAAGAGCGCAAAATTCCGAGTTTGAAATCTGATAGATTCTACCCTTCTACTGAACTCTTCCTTGAAGTTTTATTACCATATTTTTCATAGATTAAGAAACAGTGGTGCGAGTATTTTATCCGTCCTTTCGCGTGTGTCTCTTAGAAATCTCAACAACATTCAATTTTCTAGGTATAAAATTCTCACAAATGCAGCAAGAAAGAATTTTGAAATACAAATTTTGGATGATTTAAGAAAAACCATCATTTACTTATTTACCAACTTGGTCGGGGAATAGGCAAAACTCTGATGCATAGAAACCAAATTTTACGTAGGAACTTCAGATTTTGGTATTATCATTTGATAGGGATTTGGTTGAAATATATTTTAGTTCCATATATTTCAACCAAATCCCTATTAAAATCGAAACTAAAAAATTGAGAACTTCATATGTAAAATTATTCTTTGAATCTTGGAGAAGCATTACAAGATGCCAATGTATCTACAATCTACGTATAAAAAATAAGTTTGCTCATATAATGCTCGTATGCGAAGACTATACAGGGTGCCTCTAAAAGGTCTGTACAACACGCTACCATAGGTTCTTTATAAAAATAGGCCGATTTGACCCAACTCACGTCTATCCAAAAGTGCTTCGGTAAGGCGCCATCGACCGCCAAAGATCTTTAAAAAAAATCGTACTTTTTATTTTATCGGAAGATGATTTTACGGATTAAAATAAAATTCGGGATGTGAATGTAAAAAGGTCTTTATGATATCATTTTTTTAATTGTAGCCGCTGTGTAGGTGGTATGGTAAAATAAAAAAACTTTTTAACTAACCGTTCTGAATTTTTACCCACAGGAAGACAGTTTATTTTCAAGCATTTTTTGTCTCTTGATGAATTTCATTATCTGTGATGGTTTACCAAAAAAAAAAAAAGTTTAGGTATGATCTGGGGTATGATGTATGGCAATGGGATCACTACCAATGCGATTGTTCATAGCCTACCTCTATTTCCAACTTGCACAGATATTTTCTATTGCAACATTCATACTTATTGTAAATGTCGTGCATCATTTTAGTTTTTTTTTTTCGTAAACCATCACAGATAATGAAATTCATCAAGAGACAAAAAATGCTTGAAACTAAACTGTCTTACTGTGGGTAAAAGTTCAGAACTGTTAATATGACCGTTAAAAAGTTTTACACCTCTTTAGATGTGGATGGCCAGTATTTTACCATCTACATAGCAGCTACAATTTAAAAAAATGATATTATAAAGACCCTTTTTACATGAGACATTCACATCCCGAACTTTACTTTAATCCGTAAAACCATAAAAAATACGATTTTTTTAAGATCTTTGACGGTCGATAGCGCCTAACCGAAGGATAGAGGTAAGTTGGGTTAAATTGACCTATTTTGATACCAAGAACCCATGCTAGCGCTTTGTACAGACCTTTTAGAGACACCCTGTACATGTATATTAAGATTTATCAATTTATGGCTTGAAAAGAAATTCCTAGAGCTTAGAATTTGGACTACAGCAAGGATTTTTTAGGTGTTTGACATAATGAAACCAGATGACATTGCTTTTGAAGCGAAGAAGGATCTTTTAATAGCCAATTTTGGCGAGTCTTATTTAAAAAAACATAGGCGTGAAAGAATGGCCTATTCATGCAGTAATAGAATGCGTGAACTTTCAAGGATATTATTAAATTTTCGCATGATAACCAATAATAATAAAGCTAATTTTAAAGATATATTGCATCCTAAACACTTCGATACTGTATTAATGGCAGTTCGGAAGATTAGTGGTTTTGACCACGAAAAGAAGTCATTTCAAACTCCAAGTTTGGCTATGCATCTAGGAACCTCATTAAAATTAGCATGCGATGAACTTACACACCTGGTATTAAAACAAAGTAAAGGTTTCAGATGTAAATCGGCGGAAGATGCCCAGGTTTGGCTTACGAATATTAAGAATTTTAAGAAACTGGTTGAATCGCGATGGACCATAGAAATTTCGTCTTTAGCTAATAAAGATCTTCAAGAAAAGCGTTGGAAAAAGCCGCTATTACTACCATTGGTGAGCGACGTGAAAAAGTTTAGAGACGAAGTGACTAAGTTGGCAAATGACTCCGTATCCCAGCTACTTTTAAAAGAGAATAAACGCGCATTTAAATTATTAATACAATGTGTCTTATCGTTACTAATTTTGTTTAATCGTCGCCGAATAGGTGACGTTCAATATCTTAAGATCAGCGACTACAAATCAGATAAAAAGAGCAACTACACAGATTTCGACCATGTACTTACGGATGTGGAAAGATCATTGACCCAAAAATACAAGAGAGTACTCAACAGCGGTAAAGGTTCGAGGGCTGTTGTCATACTTATACCTGAAGAACTGCAAAACATGATTAATGTTTTATTAGCGGAGAGAAACAAGTACATATTAGACTCTAACAATGACTATGTGTTTGCCATGCCCGACAGTACGATTAAATGGGGAAAAGGTGATGTGGCAATTCGGGCATTGTGCAAAAAAATTCAAATTGAAAACCCTAAAGCTATTTCAAGTAACAACCTGCGGAAACAGATTGCCACTGTAACCCAAATTTTAAGTTTAAAACCAGAAGAGGCAAAACAGTTTGCAAATTTCATGGGGCATACTCAAAAGACTCACGATGAGTTTTATGAGTAAGTAACAAGCAACGACTGAAACATCAGATATCATCTACTTACCTTTTTTAAATGTATTAGATTACCGGTTGACATTTACCAAACTGCAAAGGTGTCAAAATTGTTGATGATGATGGAGAAAGGATCTATGCCAATCGAATATAAAGGAAAGTCGTTGGAAGAGATTAATATAGATTTTAACCTAGAATATGCGGAGGAAGACAAAATTGACGGTAAATTTAGGTAGATTTCAGTTACTGTGAAACATTAAAATATTTATAGGCACAATAAATAAAAGAAGTGAGGAGCCTCCAGGATTTTATGCAAACGAAAGATCTATTGAGATTGTAAATACAGGATTTAATGGTATTATTTTTTGTTTCCACAACCTTCATTTACTTACCTATATTATGAACTTTCAGATGTGAATGATCGAGAAAATCGAAGTCCCTGTAAGTAGAAATGCTATTTCTTTAAAGAGCCGAGATATCCATCACCTATAACCTATTCTACCAATAAAGCCATCATTAGCACAATCGTAACTAAGGAATTTATTTGGCGAATAAATGTATTGATAGATGGATATTTCGGCTTTTTGGATCGGTTATTTTTATTTCAGTAGTAGCGGAATGGATTTCTCTTATGGCCGGTTGTATAATGTCAGTTTGAACCTCCGGTGGAAATCAACCTGCGGTTGAACGTCAATCATGGGCCTTATTTTCATCATGGCTGACATTTTATCCAATCACTGACGTTCAACCGCAGGTTGATTTCAACCGGAAGTTCAACCAGACGTTATACAACTGGCCCTTAATTTAAAACAATACTTATCTATACATTTAATACTTTTAGGTTCCTCTCCCCAAGAGGAATTATCATCAGGTACCATTGCCAACTAGCATTTATTGAAATTTAAATGTAATTGATATCGTTTTCAGATATAACTGTTGCAGCTAATGAAAGGTCTCGGACAGTACCGCAAATACCATCAGGTAGGTACCTAAATAAATTTTTGGTACACGCTCTCCAAAATTGTTACTTTCCGTATCCATTTGAGTCCGCAAAATAAATCTTTAACGGCCTACTTAAAGTGTGATAACTTCAGATAGAACATATAGGTAGAGTTTAGACTATTTTTTTAGAGCTTTTACCAAAAAATTTTGTATGTACCACGTACGCAAAACGTTTTAGCGCACTTATCTCATTATAGACTCGGCTCCTCTGTCGCCTCGTCTTTAATACCGATTTGTTCGCTCAAACGGTATTTTGCGTACTTGATACATAAATATCTATTAAACTAAGCCAAACACATTTTTTTTTCAGATTTACCGATCCATGCGTCACCAAAAACATCTCGGATAGTACAGGACAGACCATCAGGTACTTTCGATTATGAAGTAAGAAACCAAATATACATAGGTATCGCTTTCAGATTTAATTGACGCTGATAGTGTAGCTGAAGTTCCAAAGAGAAGTGGACAGAGAACCTGTAAGTATTAGCATAATTTGCTAACTACTACATTTAAATTTCCAGATTGGTCTAATCGGGAACTTCATTTATTAAAAAAAGAGTTCAGTGTCTACATTAATAAAGGTACCTATCCAGCAGGGAACGACATAAAGGAATTTCTTGAAAGAAATGGAATAAACAGAAGCGTCATTGTAACCAAATCAAAGCTACAACATTTGATTAAAACTAAAAAAGGACTATAAACTACAAGAAATGTTACCTTTATTTTACGTAATAGAATACATTTTTATTTTATTCTTCCACAATGTTTGTTTTATTACTAGTTAAGTACAATTAATGTTGTGCACCTACAGTCGACAGACCTTATGCGGTAGTAAGTAGATTGATATACATTTGGTAGATACGCACCTAGATCTTCAACACATAGGTAGCTGCAAAACGAATGGCATAATTTGACTTACCCACGTGCATCATAGTATGAAACCTTGATGTGTTAAACAGGATATGCTATAGCTTTTATTGGTCCTTCTAGGTCTGAAGTTTAAGTTAAGTTGAGTTCGTAAAGCAGCTGCGGTCACTTAAAAATAAAACCTTTTAAATAAAATAAAAAGAACAAATGTAGAACTTACCTCCACTCCACGGTGTTCCAATGACAGTCGCTGTCAACACACGCCGGAACAGGGCTATTAACGGAGAAAAATATGACAAAATTAAAATATAATGATAATGATCATGTTCCACGACTACGATCACGATGAGGATGATGATAATGATGATGACGATAATGATGATAATGATCATGACGATGACGATAATAATGACAATGATAATGGTATGATAATCATCATGATGATGATCATGATAATGACAATGGTAATGATAATAATAATCATACACTAACAATGCCCATATATTGGAATCATGCCCTACGCTAGAACAATACCGCAGAATGAAGCGCATAAAAGGTGATGTAGCGACTACACTATCCGACTCTAACCTAAAAAAACGTCCTTAAGTATATAAAAACTATAAACAACATAAACAAAATCTAAACACATGCCTATAAATTATGAAATATAGAACTTACCCCCATGGTGTGCCAATGACCGTCGCTGTTGCCGCACGCCTGAACAGTGCCATAAATGGAGAAAAATATAATAAATAAAAAGAACAATTAATAATATATATGCCCAAACAGAAAAAAAATCCAATTATAGGACAAAACTTAATAAATACAAAGCCAAGCAGAAATAATAATATCATACAAAATTCTACAATGCAAAAGCCGTTTGGATTAGGGGATGGCGATATATCAAATTTACCATAATCATTGCAAAACATAGACTACAGCACTACTGCAGTTATGATAACGAAATGTGGGCCAATCAGTAGAACACAGTCCTATAAACGTGAAAAAAATTTTGGTGAAACGTTTTTTTAATTTATCATTATGTGCAACTTAGAAAATGCACTTCACATTAGTATCCCATACAATAATCGACTCAGTACATCTTGAACCCATGTACCTACACTTACCTTGCGATATGTTCGTTGACACCAAAATAATTAATTATGACACTCACTATAAAATATAGAGTAAAACGTTAATGCATTTACCCAAATGTTAGTAGTAAAGGTAGTGGCAACATCGCCGGAAGTGACAACGAGAGAGATATTACACATTTACCGGAAGTGAATTGGTAGAGAATATGACTGCAGTTATATATTATATATATTAAAAATAAACAAGCGAAATCGCTTCCCCTCTTTAGAAAACTTGATAAAGCACATCCCCCTAAACTTATTAATAGACTGAAAAAAAATCTAGGTGTATTTCTTTTGGTGGAAGTCAGGTCGCCCAGTTTGTGTAACGGAAGTGACTACTTATTGCGTATATGTATATATATATATATATATATATATATATATATATATATTGGTAAATCGACGTTAACGCACCCAAATACAAATCGACGTACCGGCACCCGGCTTTTGAATGAGATAAAGCTACGTTTAAGCACCTGTATATGAGCAGAATCATATATGCGATGTGGCACCACCTATATATGAAGGTCAACAGTACAGTCGATTTCCGCCCGCGCAGACCATTTGTTTAATGGAATGCGGTTTGACAATAGGGAACCGTTACCTGTCCTGACCCACACTTTTGGACGTTATTTACTTTACTAAGCATACTTTCAGTTTGAGATTCAAAAACATTTTTCTGTTTTCGAGAAATACCTACCCGATGAATGACCGTGTTTATTCCAGATACATTACCAATCCAATGCTGTCCTTCAATTTATTGGAGCCGCTGCATTAATTTGATAAAATGATTAAAATATCTTTTAATAGGAATTTGAATATGATATTTTTAACGTAACCCTTAGTTTTATCGCAGAACGGTATATAATCATTTTTTCTCACGATGGTCATTTTGCAATTTGGAATGTTTCAATAAAGATTGTTTTTTATTAATGTCATTACCAATCAAAGATTTTCTTTTACCAGGATGATTTATTCGAATAAAATAAAGCGTGATATGTTTTAAACTTAACTAATTATTATTTAATTAAGTTCATTTTTACGGTTTAATTGATAATAATCATTCCAAGCCGGTTTTCCACATATTGGTAGATAGGTAAGGTTTACACTTTATAGGTTATATTATAAGTAATTCACGCCTGTGTTCTGTATCCAAAACACTATTTTGAAAACTGAATAACTTTAGTAACCCCAGTGCTTTTGTGTTACCTAGAAAATAATTCTGTAGTTAAATAACCAAAAAAATAAAATTGACCATCGTAAGAAAAAGTACCTCCGCCATTCTGATGGCAAATTCCGCAAATTATAAATTGCGTTAAGCACACTATACATTGCAAATCTTGTGCCAATTTAACCAACCCCATATATTCTGGAAAAAAGCTAGTTGCACCATTTACATCAATGATTAATGGTATCCGATATTTTTTAAATATCTAGAAAGGGCAATTGTTATCTGTTCTTTCGCCCGTCCGTCCGTCCGGACCCAGTTCTGCGGTTTTGAACTACGTTTAGGAGAATGGTCTTAGAGTAAAATTTGCAAAAAGTTCCTGTTTGAAGAAAGTTGCCTTGGTTGACCATATTGGTTCAAACTATAGAGATGGCCTTTTTGATTTAAAATCATCTAATTCTTCCTCGAATCACATCTGATAAGCAACAAGTTCAAAGAGATCGTAAGCAAACAACTTTACTTATCCATCTTCCAGTTCATGGATGTTATCTCATTGGATAAAAGCAATCATAAGAACTCTAAAAGTTATTTGCTGATTATTATATGTAACCTAAAAGGTTGTTCGATATTTATAAATAAAATTTACAAAAAGTTCCTTTTTGAAGAAAGTTACCTTTGTTGTCGATATTGGTTTAAACTATAGAGACGGCATTTTTGATTTAAAATCATCTAATTCCTCCTCTAATCACATATAAGAAACGCCAAGCACGAAGAGATCTGAAAAATGACTGAACACACTGTGTTTTATAACTAAATCCATTTTTGTTTATAATTTTGCTATACAACCCCCCCTAAATAAAGCAAAATGGGTAATGTGGAAAAACGTCTTAACTTAATAAAATGCGAAAAAAAAATGCCTTTTAAAAAGCTCCCAATCTTTATCTTTACTGAACATAAAATTTTGGAAAGCAAAAATAGATTGCAACGCAACCATTGTTGTCTTCGTTTTTTTCTATTATTGCTTTTCGCCCTTAAACCTTATCGAAATCCTAGGCCAAAAAAACTTGTCTCCAACCCTGGAATATTCAATCTCGAAAGCTTCGACTCCGAAGATTATCCGTACATACAGTGAGCTCAAGTTTAAAAAGTTATTAAGCTATCTTTTGTAATTAAACGCACAAAAATCTTACAATTCATTTTCTTTAATTTTATTTTTGGCAACAAATTCCTACAAATAAAATGATAGATGAACGCCTGTCAATATTATCTAAAATATGAATAGATTAAGATAATGTTGGGCAATTAAAGATAAATTAAGAAATCCTTTGATATCCAAAAAAGATTACCATTAAATAGAAAGGTAATGACATCGGTTGTATTATTTCAATACAAACAAAAACCTACCCTATCTATTNAATAAAAAAACTTTTTAACGGTCATATTAACCGTTCTGAATTTTTACCCACAGGAAGACAGTTTATTTTCAAGCATTTTTTGTCTCTTGATGAATTTCATTATCTGTGATGGTTTACGAAAAAAAAAAATAAGTTTAGGTATGATCTGGGGTATGATGTATGGCAATGGGATCACTACCAATGCGATTGTTCATAGCCTACCTCTATTTCCAACTTGCACAGATATTTTCTATTGCAACATTCATACTTATTGTAAATGTCGTGCATCATTTTAGTTTTTTTTTTTCGTAAACCATCACAGATAATGAAATTCATCAAGAGACAAAAAATGCTTGAAACTAAACTGTCTTACTGTGGGTAAAAGTTCAGAACTGTTAATATGACCGTTAAAAAGTTTTACACCTCTTTAGATGTGGATGGCCAGTATTTTACCATCTACATAGCAGCTACAATTTAAAAAAATGATATTATGAAGACCCTTTTTACATGAGACATTCACATCCGTAAAACCATAAAAAATACGATTTTTTTAAGATCTTTGACGGTCGATAGCGCCTAACCGAAGCACTTTTGGATAGAGGTAAGTTGGGTTAAATTGACCTATTTTGATACCAAGAACCCATGCTAGCGCTTTGTACAGACCTTTTAGAGACACCCTGTACATGTATATTAAGATTTATCAATTTATGGCTTGAAAAGAAATTCCTAGAGCTTAGAATTTGGACTACAGCAAGGATTTTTTAGGTGTTTGACATAATGAAACCAGATGACATTGCTTTTGAAGCGAAGAAGGATCTTTTAATAGCCAATTTTGGCGAGTCTTATTTAAAAAAACATAGGCGTGAAAGAATGGCCTATTCATGCAGTAATAGAATGCGTGAACTTTCAAGGATATTATTAAATTTTCGCATGATAACCAATAATAATAAAGCTAATTTTAAAGATATATTGCATCCTAAACACTTCGATACTGTATTAATGGCAGTTCGGAAGATTAGTGGTTTTGACCACGAAAAGAAGTCATTTCAAACTCCAAGTTTGGCTATGCATCTAGGAACCTCATTAAAATTAGCATGCGATGAACTTACACACCTGGTATTAAAACAAAGTAAAGGTTTCAGATGTAAATCGGCGGAAGATGCCCAGGTTTGGCTTACGAATATTAAGAATTTTAAGAAACTGGTTGAATCGCGATGGACCATAGAAATTTCGTCTTTAGCTAATAAAGATCTTCAAGAAAAGCGTTGGAAAAAGCCGCTATTACTACCATTGGTGAGCGACGTGAAAAAGTTTAGAGACGAAGTGACTAAGTTGGCAAATGACTCCGTATCCCAGCTACTTTTAAAAGAGAATAAACGCGCATTTAAATTATTAATACAATGTGTCTTATCGTTACTAATTTTGTTTAATCGTCGCCGAATAGGTGACGTTCAATATCTTAAGATCAGCGACTACAAATCAGATAAAAAGAGCAACTACACAGATTTCGACCATGTACTTACGGATGTGGAAAGATCATTGACCCAAAAATACAAGAGAGTACTCAACAGCGGTAAAGGTTCGAGGGCTGTTGTCATACTTATACCTGAAGAACTGCAAAACATGATTAATGTTTTATTAGCGGAGAGAAACAAGTACATATTAGACTCTAACAATGACTATGTGTTTGCCATGCCCGACAGTACGATTAAATGGGGAAAAGGTGATGTGGCAATTCGGGCATTGTGCAAAAAAATTCAAATTGAAAACCCTAAAGCTATTTCAAGTAACAACCTGCGGAAACAGATTGCCACTGTAACCCAAATTTTAAGTTTAAAACCAGAAGAGGCAAAACAGTTTGCAAATTTCATGGGGCATACTCAAAAGACTCACGATGAGTTTTATGAGTAAGTAACAAGCAACGACTGAAACATCAGATATCATCTACTTACCTTTTTTAAATGTATTAGATTACCGGTTGACATTTACCAAACTGCAAAGGTGTCAAAATTGTTGATGATGATGGAGAAAGGATCTATGCCAATCGAATATAAAGGAAAGTCGTTGGAAGAGATTAATATAGATTTTAACCTAGAATATGCGGAGGAAGACAAAATTGACGGTAAATTTAGGTAGATTTCAGTTACTGTGAAACATTAAAATATTTATAGGCACAATAAATAAAAGAAGTGAGGAGCCTCCAGGATTTTATGCAAACGAAAGATCTATTGAGATTGTAAATACAGGATTTAATGGTATTATTTTTTGTTTCCACAACCTTCATTTACTTACCTATATTATGAACTTTCAGATGTGAATGATCGAGAAAATCGAAGTCCCTGTAAGTAGAAATGCTATTTCTTTAAAGAGCCGAGATATCCATCACCTATAACCTATTCTACCAATAAAGCCATCATTAGCACAATCGTAACTAAGGAATTTATTTGGCGAATAAATGTATTGATAGATGGATATTTCGGCTTTTTGGTTATTTTTATTTCAGTAGTAGCGGAATGGATTTCTCTTATGGCCGGTTGTATAATGTCAGTTTGAACCTCCGGTGGAAATCAACCTGCGGTTGAACGTCAATCATGGGCCTTATTTTCATCATGGCTGACATTTTATCCAATCACTGACGTTCAACCGCAGGTTGATTTCAACCGGAAGTTCAACCAGACGTTATACAACTGGCCCTTAATTTAAAACAATACTTATCTATACATTTAATACTTTTAGGTTCCTCTCCCCAAGAGGAATTATCATCAGGTACCATTGCCAACTAGCATTTATTGAAATTTAAATGTAATTGATATCGTTTTCAGATATAACTGTTGCAGCTAATGAAAGGTCTCGGACAGTACCGCAAATACCATCAGGTAGGTACCTAAATAAATTTTTGGTACACGCTCTCCAAAATTGTTACTTTCCGTATCCATTTGAGTCCGCAAAATAAATCTTTAACGGCCTACTTAAAGTGTGATAACTTCAGATAGAACATATAGGTAGAGTTTAGACTATTTTTTTAGAGCTTTTACCAAAAAATTTTGTATGTACCACGTACGCAAAACGTTTTAGCGCACTTATCTCATTATAGACTCGGCTCCTCTGTCGCCTCGTCTTTAATACCGATTTGTTCGCTCAAACGGTATTTTGCGTACTTGATACATAAATATCTATTAAACTAAGCCAAACACATTTTTTTTTCAGATTTACCGATCCATGCGTCACCAAAAACATCTCGGATAGTACAGGACAGACCATCAGGTACTTTCGATTATGAAGTAAGAAACCAAATATACATAGGTATCGCTTTCAGATTTAATTGACGCTGATAGTGTAGCTGAAGTTCCAAAGAGAAGTGGACAGAGAACCTGTAAGTATTAGCATAATTTGCTAACTACTACATTTAAATTTCCAGATTGGTCTAATCGGGAACTTCATTTATTAAAAAAAGAGTTCAGTGTCTACATTAATAAAGGTACCTATCCAGCAGGGAACGACATAAAGGAATTTCTTGAAAGAAATGGAATAAACAGAAGCGTCATTGTAACCAAATCAAAGCTACAACATTTGATTAAAACTAAAAAAGGACTATAAACTACAAGAAATGTTACCTTTATTTTACGTAATAGAATACATTTTTATTTTATTCTTCCACAATGTTTGTTTTATTACTAGTTAAGTACAATTAATGTTGTGCACCTACAGTCGACAGACCTTATGCGGTAGTAAGTAGATTGATATACATTTGGTAGATACGCACCTAGATCTTCAACACATAGGTAGCTGCAAAACGAATGGCATAATTTGACTTACCCACGTGCATCATAGTATGAAACCTTGATGTGTTAAACAGGATATGCTATAGCTTTTATTGGTCCTTCTAGGTCTGAAGTTTAAGTTAAGTTGAGTTCGTAAAGCAGCTGCGGTCACTTAAAAATAAAACCTTTTAAATAAAATAAAAAGAACAAATGTAGAACTTACCTCCACTCCACGGTGTTCCAATGACAGTCGCTGTCAACACACGCCGGAACAGGGCTATTAACGGAGAAAAATATGACAAAATTAAAATATAATGATAATGATCATGTTCCACGACTACGATCACGATGAGGATGATGATAATGATGATGACGATAATGATGATAATGATCATGACGATGACGATAATAATGACAATGATAATGGTATGATAATCATCATGATGATGATCATGATAATGACAATGGTAATGATAATAATAATCATACACTAACAATGCCCATATATTGGAATCATGCCCTACGCTAGAACAATACCGCAGAATGAAGCGCATAAAAGGTGATGTAGCGACTACACTATCCGACTCTAACCTAAAAAAACGTCCTTAAGTATATAAAAACTATAAACAACATAAACAAAATCTAAACACATGCCTATAAATTATGAAATATAGAACTTACCCCCATGGTGTGCCAATGACCGTCGCTGTTGCCGCACGCCTGAACAGTGCCATAAATGGAGAAAAATATAATAAATAAAAAGAACAATTAATAATATATATGCCCAAACAGAAAAAAAATCCAATTATAGGACAAAACTTAATAAATACAAAGCCAAGCAGAAATAATAATATCATACAAAATTCTACAATGCAAAAGCCGTTTGGATTAGGGGATGGCGATATATCAAATTTACCATAATCATTGCAAAACATAGACTACAGCACTACTGCAGTTATGATAACGAAATGTGGGCCAATCAGTAGAACACAGTCCTATAAACGTGAAAAAAATTTTGGTGAAACGTTTTTTTAATTTATCATTATGTGCAACTTAGAAAATGCACTTCACATTAGTATCCCATACAATAATCGACTCAGTACATCTTGAACCCATGTACCTACACTTACCTTGCGATATGTTCGTTGACACCAAAATAATTAATTATGACACTCACTATAAAATATAGAGTAAAACGTTAATGCATTTACCCAAATGTTAGTAGTAAAGGTAGTGGCAACATCGCCGGAAGTGACAACGAGAGAGATATTACACATTTACCGGAAGTGAATTGGTAGAGAATATGACTGCAGTTATATATTATATATATTAAAAATAAACAAGCGAAATCGCTTCCCCTCTTTAGAAAACTTGATAAAGCACATCCCCCTAAACTTATTAATAGACTGAAAAAAAATCTAGGTGTATTTCTTTTGGTGGAAGTCAGGTCGGCCAGTTTGTGTAACGGAAGTGACTACTTATTGCGTATATGTATATATATATATATATATCGATATATATATATATACGTACTTAGAAGAACAGAGTATCACCTTTCAAATTACGGAGCTTGCAAACAACCGTGTGTTTAATTTTACTAACTGGCATTTGGTATTGTATAGGAAGAAAGTCCCTCTGTTATGACACCTTTTCCCTATAAAACCAAATTATTAGTTCAAACGCATATATTTTTATTTAGCCACAGTCGCTATTAATGCTCTTGGGGCAGAATGGGGAGATGGTGAAAATTTTAAAATTGATAAATTGGTTGGGAAATTTCAGAAAGTTTTCACGCAAGAACAGGAGTTAGATTTAGTACGATATTTAACAGACATGGAAGGAAGATCATTTGGCCTAACAATGACAGCTTTTCGAAAGATGACCTATCAACTAGCTAACGAAATAATTGCAATAATAGATTCAACTGCAATACGGAAATGGCGGGCGAGACATGGATGAAGGAGTTTCTGAAGCGACATCCTACGCTAGCGTTGAGAAAACCTGAAGCAACTTCAGGTGCCCGGGCGATGGGCAACTGCCAGAGGAGATGAAAGGGGGCGGCGGTATTGCGTAGGAGCATTCTATAATCTATTTGAACTATTTTCAGGTGCATTGTGTTTTCACCAAAATTTAATCATTTGTTTTGCAGCGCTAAATATTCGTGACTCGTGACAATCGTTTTTATAAGAATTAGATTAGTGTAGTGTAAAGATGGAGAAAAGGAAGCGACAATCATCAATGTTTTCCTTATATAAAAAATGTTAAAGTAAACGAGGAAGTTAGTACCGGGACCGGCGAGACGTTTGGTGGAAGCAGTAAATCTAATCTGTCAGGAATCCAAACTGAAACTCAGGTTAGGTTATTGTATAGTACAGCCAGAAAGTACTTTTTTTAAATAAAAATAGGCTCTTAACCACCGGTACCACCAGACTCTTTAAGTTTTGAAAATGATATAGCTGTACTCAAACTGAAAGAGTTTTCCGAACAAAAACTTATTTCTACATTGGAAAACATGTGGGCTTCTCTTCCAAATTACAATTTTCTCGGGACTACTGATGCTCAAAATGAAAAATTTCAATCAGTGTGGTTGAAAAGGTTCACTTGGCTAGCATATTCAAAAATAGAAGATTCGGTTTATTGCAAATAACTTTTTAAAAATGGATACCTACCAGAAGGCAGCCACACTTTCTAATGCGGAAAAGGGTTTTTTCACAACAGGAATATATCCCTTCAAACATTTTTCCCGACTGGATGTTTGCTCCTGCAGAAGAAACAGATCTAGAACAAGAAAAAATAGAAGGACCCCCTAAAACCAATTGTACGGATAAGGAACCTGAGACTTTGCTGACTGATGCTACACAAAATGATATCCTTCATCTACTATATGCTCCCAACAATAATCAAAAGTCAAACTGCGTTAGACTTTCAATGCATGCTCAAACCCTTTAGCGCCCGGTCTAAGAATCGAATATATAACGCAGATGTAACAGGACTGTCGACGGTTCAGGTTCCGCAAAAGATATTCGCTCGAAGAGGCCAAAAGAGAGTGGGTTTTGCAACAAGTTCAGAAGGGAAAGACAACTGCAATGTGTTTGTCTCAGTGCAGCGGGCACATATGTGCCGCCGATGTTTATTTTTGCGCACCAAAGAATGAATCTCCAATCGAAGAAGAGTGGTCCCCCGAATGCTATCTACTGCTGCTCGGACCATGGTTGGATCACAGAAACAATACTTTTGGAATGGCTGCAGCATTTCCGGACGTCTGTAAAGGCATATAAAGAAGATCCAGTGTTATTGATTGTTGACAATCACCACTCATTGATGTCTGAAAACGATTACGGTTGTAGGTCGGTAGAAGCTCATAATAACAGTCAAAATGCACTAGAAGTTAACGAGAACACCAAATAACCAACAGATTAATCATTTTTTGGAAGAAACAACATCTCCGAGTCTCTGCAGTACGAGAGAAGTCAGCTGACAGAAGCACACAAAAATAAATCTCTTTTGTTGAAATATTACCCTTGCCTGGGACATCAAATTCAGGAGCCGCAAACTCCAAGAAGCGAAAAGGCCGAAAACAACATTCTGAAATATTTACATCAACGCCGATGAAACTCTTGTTAGAAGAAAAAAACCAATAAAAAGAAGAGTGCAGAAACAGGAGGAAAAAAAAGAAAGTTGAAATGGTTAAGAGACAAGTTTTGAATGATGAAGGATTAGCTGAAACAAGCACAACTGCAAAGCAAAAGATAGAAGTTGAAAGGAGTAATGAAAAAGAGAAGAAAGTTATAAGAACTTAGCGTAAACCTCAGCCTCCAATGAAGAAGAAAATATTATCTTTATATGTGGCGAATTCGGGAAAAACAATTTTATATATATATATATATATATATATATATATATATAAAATTGTTACTACAAGTAATCGGAGTGCAACAGCAACACTAATAAGTGAATCGCCGAATCAAGCAGACAACATCCCCCTTCCCCTTAAAAAAAAAGAACCATGCAAAGATATAACTGTAGGAAACTAGTTCCACCTTAACTCATGACTTCGAACAAATAAACTTACCATGTAGCAGACTATATCTGCCACAAATGCGTACCAGCACAATGCACGCAATACGATTTGGTTTAACCGAACCTACAGTATTATTAAATGAAACCGCGTTAGTGTTGCGCAACTCTATCGGTACCACTTCGGCACATTTTTGTGCATGCTTGCTAGTCAACAATATTATCTTGCTGTGATTTCGGATTGGATTTTATACACAGTGTGTCCCAGATCGAGTGGGATTGCATGGGTAACTTTCTTATTATTAAAGATAGGAGAATTGGTTAAATGGGCAATGTTTTGCAGTTTTAGATGCTTAATTAAAATTTTCTTGTGGAAATTCAAAAAGTCGTATAGGTTCGACATAAATTCAAAAAAATTAAAATTGGCCATTTCCTTTAATGTCTTATATCATCGAAAGTACAAGAGATATAAAAACAAACTTTTATATAAAAGTTACTGTCTTTGATACGCCAAATTTAAAATCGATGTCAAAAAATTTACCTTTGAGGAACATTTATCAACTTCCTAAAGTTAAATAGGCGCCATATTGGATTTTTAAATTACTTGATAGATTTTTTAATTCTCTTTTGAACGAGCTATCATAGCATAAAGACTGCGAATTAATGCAAGAGATTGTTGCTAGTAATAACTGCGAAGATTCTAAGGTCACATCCGAATTACATTCGCAAACCCTACCCTCCGAGTGGTCGGATGCTCCTACAAAATTTTTTGTTGAAAGTTACGAAGAACAAAAATGCTTGTGGAACAGAGAAAAATTAAAACCATGAAACAAATGTGGGAGTTAATTAAACAAGAAATTAATAGCCCATGGACATAATTTT